TGGAGGACAACTTACTGAAACCAATTAGGCCCATTTATAGTATGAGATACACACAGTTGTGAGTGTATTAATGGTACTACTTATGTGAAAAATATTATTTGCCCTCATGTATATCCTTGGTGGTGTATTCCTCTTTATGCAGGTAAGGTTCTTTTTGTCTCTCCCCATTGTAGGGTTAGGAAAAATGAGTTAACCATTTCAACCAATCTTATTTAAATTTCTATGAAGACACAAATTATGTTTTCCAATTATTCAGGTTAAAACTAACTTTTAGTTTATTGTGTCTAATATTGAAACGCCCGTGCAGGTAAGACTACCTTCAAATATATTTACTTTTACCAGGAACACACAATTGCTCAAAGTTCTCACCTTGCCTTACAAGCTATGACAGAGTGCAGAATAGCCAATTGCCTCTTTCCATGGCCAGCCTCATTCCTAGATCTGAGTCGTATTGAGGGTATTAGATGTTTAATCAGGAGATGTACTTTCCACCGTAATTGCAACCTGATATAAAGTTCCTGATCTCCTGCAGTCGCACCTGGCTATAATAGACCTCTTTGTATGAGAAACCACACTATTACGAATGAATTGTACAGGAATCAAGACCCCTGCAGTCATACAAACAGTACTCCCTATAAGGAATTCACACTAAAACCTCGTTATAATGAACAAAACTCCCCCAACTGTTGGCGTTTTTTATAACAATATGTGACTGTAGCTGCAATCTCTGCCCAGGGGGATAATATTACCTCAGTTCAGATTGCCTATCATACAACCTCAATGTCCCCACTGGTTTTGGGACCTTGTTGCCCCTCTGGGAGGCCATATCCATGGAGGTCATAATTACATGACCACAGGTACAAGTGCCAGTGTTTTAACACACGTACAGTTGTATCTGAAAAGTGTACGTACCTCTTCTTGGCAACGCCATAACTAACGATCACCTCAACATCACTTCCTATCATGCCACCACAACACTTCCAACCCCTCAGTAAAGACTAGATAAAGGAAATCTATGCTTTCTATAAACATACTGATATGGGGTATGATAAAATTTCAAAGCTTATGAACCTCTCGAAGTCAACTGTTTCAATAGTAATCAAAAATCAAAAATCCAGATATAGAAAAACCCATGATACCCCCAGATCTAACAGACTAACCAAGATTAGTGATGCTAAAAGGCAAGTAACTCTTGTTAATATTGATACTGAGCCTTATTTAGCCCTAAGAGATATTACTTAAAAAGCCAATATTGGACTTGGCCAAGATACTGTTAGCAAGATATCCTAAGAACCTGGATTTAAGCTCAGAATACCTAGAAAAAAACCTTATTGAAGAAAAGGACAGAAGGAGAAGAGAAAGGTGTTTGCTAGAGTGAGGAGGTACTGCACAAGAGCTTGGAAATAGGTGGTTTTTGTGGATGAAGCAATAATTGAATATGATCCAAATCAAGTAGGAATAACGACTAGAATCAAACCTGGTAAAGAGTTGGAAGAATAGAACTTAAAGCCTAGCTTTAGGTCAGGGCACACCAACATAGGTGTATATGCTCCAATGATGCATGGAGGGAGGACTGAGCTCATTCTTGTAAGAAAGAAGACAGAGGAGGAAAGGACCAGTAAAAAAGAGACAGACTTGGTCTCAATTTCCAACAATATTCAACTGAAATTCACCAACCCTACCTCATCTCCTTCATAGAAGCTATAGAGAGAGCTTCTCAAACCATCTCTATGGCTACTGATAATGTATCATGGCATAATGGAGCAGAAAACAAAAGATTACAAGAGGACTGTGGATATCAAAGATTGGCTTGTCCTCTCAACTCATCAGCTCAAAGATCTGAGACCGATTCCCCGT